TTGACTTGATGAAGAAAGGAAGCGTCTGAAGTAAACAGAACTGACAAAAGTCAACCTGAAGTAGACTGTTGCAAATGAAATGAAAACTGACATTATTTCAGTTACATAAACAAATCAAAACCATTGAGCATACTAAGTACTAAGGGTTGGACTCGGAAAGGATGTGCTGAGGTGATTAATTAAATTCTCTCTGTTTCCTTGTTCCTTTTTGCACATCCAGGATGAGTGAAGCAACATTTGGAAACGACTGGAATTTATTTTGCTCAGAGGGAGGGGAGACTTTCTGATAGCACTTTGTTTATTGCAGTCTCGCATTCCCCTTCTGTCTTCATGACTTTCCACCTCTTCAGTTCCTTCTCCGTCTTTCAGATCTCTTGCAGCCTTCCCTTTTCTATGTTTTGAAAGGCTTCATAGAAGGCGCATCTGTTGTAGGATGTCTGCATACAATTCTGTAGTAGGAAATTGTCACCCTTGGAAATTACTAGAAGCATGCTGTTTGCAAAGCACTCTTTGATTTATACAGCAGAGGAGACTGGCCATGTCATTCTGTGCTGCAGGATGATTCCAGGAGTATGTTAGTGCCATTAGGCAATAAAAAGTTTTATATGCATTGAGCAGTCTTTCACAAGTCTTTCTGGCAAATTACAACGGAACCTGGGTCCTAGAATAGGAAGGACTAATTTGCAAAGAAATAAAAACCTGCTTTGAGCAAAGGAAAAAAGGCAGTGAGGCTTTAACCTTACCCTTGTAATTCAAGCTGTAAAACTTCATGGATTTGATTCAAACTGCTGGAAAATATGTGCTTAATCTGGAGTGTATTCCCTCATAAATATTACCAGTACCATGGCCAGACCTCACCATGTCACTTGGTACGTTGTTGCAGTGATTTCCTGGTAGCAGGATTCTCCGATACCTAGTCTGACTGATTCTTTTGTGCAGAACCCGTTCTGATCTAGGTTCCTATAGACTGTGATTAAGGTACCTGTTTATGGTGTTTACCTGAGAGAGAATTATTGCCTACATTGTTCTCTAGTGAAAATGGCTGAAGCTTGTTTCCTACTTTTTAGTCAGTCTTTTTTCCTTTTTAAAAAAGAAAAGTTCCATTTTATACTTCTCCCCAGCTGCGTATATAGAGATCTGTGGAACTGACAGATGTAATTATTGTTTTGTTGGATGTTGTAGCTTAGGCATACACAGTGTTCAGCGATCACGTACATGCAGTAGACCATTCATGTCGGTGAGCGATCCCCTTCGCTTTTGCCAAATAGTGCTGTGTGTCCCTTGTTTGTGCCGGTCTGAGCAAGTCTCCTCTGAGGTGATCTGGCTGCTGGTACTCTCTGTAGTATGTGGAGCAATCCTGGTGTTTCCACATGGTCTTCAGGCCTTGTTCACGCTCTCCTCCTCAGCTCTGCACCATCCTGTAATCACCACTCATTTTGTGTGCCACGTGTGACCGTGCTGGCAGGCTCCATGAACTGGGGCTGCTCCCTGTACATGCCGGTAACATCATCTCTGTGGATAATTGTCATCTCGAAGATGTGTTGGTATGAAGGTACTGATCCCAAGTAATGATGAGGGGTGCTTAGTTGTCTTGTCTGCGTAGTGTGGCAGGAGGGGCGTGTGTCATACCTGGAATATAAGGTGATTGTGCGAGTCCTGCTGGATTGGCGCTGGACTTCTCAAAGTAGAGCAGTTCATCTTGGTGATCCATAACTGGCAGTAGGGTATGGTCTTTGTAACAGATTTTGCTCATGCGCATTAGGCCTTTACCCATGTGGATTTGACTGATTTGCCGCAAATCTTAGCTGAGAGCAAAACGGACTTGTAATGCGGATGACTGGGGTGGTGGTGTCAACACCCAGTTTTGCTCCTCAGTGCTGTTTTTATTCAGTGGTGTAGATGCAGCCAGTAAAAACAAGGTGTTCCTCTGAGGAAATGATGAGCTTGTAAGGCTTGATAGGTTCCCTGTGACCTGCCGTCTTGTGTCCTGACAAGTTGTATGGGAGACTGGAGCTGGATTTGACTTCCAGCTTAACTGCTAGCATTCAAGGGGACCTTGGGGTGTCACTTACCCCTTGGGTTTTGGTTTACCCTGTTCCAAGACAAACATAGTGGTACTGACCTTGGTTTGTACAATGCGTTCAGATCTGTGAAGAGCTGTTGTTTAAGGTATTGCTGCTTTGTGACAAAGGCCTACAAACGGGTGTCACAGCTCAGAGAGACTGTGCAATTAATAAATACAGGTAGGTGAGTAATTTGAGGTTCTTGGGTAACTTACTTGTTATGAGTGGTGTTGAATGGAGCTAAATCCAGTTGGCAGCTGGTCACTAGCGGTGTTCCCTAGGGCTCAGTTTTGGGGCCAGTTTAACATCTTTATAGATGACCTGGACATGGGGATTGAGGGCACCCTCAGTAAGTTTGCAGATGACACCAAGTTTGATGGGAGTGTTGATCTGCTGGAGGATAGGAAGGCTCTACAGAGGGATCTGGACAGGCTGGATCGATGGGCTGAGACCAATGGCATGAGGTTCAAGAAGAACAAATGCCGAGTCCTACACTTTGGCCACAAAACCCCCATCCAGTGCTATAGGCTGGGGGAAGAGTGGCTAGAAAGCAGCCCAGCAGGAAAAGACCTGGGAGTGTTGGTCAACAGCCGGCTGAACATGAGCCAGCGGTGTGCCCAGGTGGCCAAGAAGGCTGATGGCATCCTGGCTTGTATCAGAAATATTGTGGCCAGCAGGACTAGGACAGTGATCATCCCTCTGTACTTGGCATTGGTGAGGCTGCATTTCCAGTACCGTGTTCAGTTCTGGGCCCTGCACTTCAAGAAAGACCTTGAGGTGCTGGAGCGAGTCCAGAGAAGGGCAACGAAGGTGGTGAAGGCCCTGGAGCACAAGTCTGATGGGGAGGAACTGAGGGAGCTGGGGGTGTTTGGCCTGGAGAAGAGGAGGCTGAGGGGAGACCTGATCACTCTCTACAACGACCTGAAAGGAGGATGTAGAAAGGGGGGGGTTGGTCTCTTCTCCCAGGCAAGTAGTGACAGGACAAGAGGGCGTAGTCTGAAACTGCACCAGGGGAAGTTCAGGTTAGACATTAGGAGGCATTTCTTCACAGAAAGGGTGATTAGGCATTGGAATGAGCTGCCCAGGGAGGTGGTGGAGTCACCAACCCTTGGAGGTGTTTAAGAAAAGGCTGGAGGTGGCACTTACTGCCATGGTCTAGTTGACATGGGGGTGTTAGGGGAAATTTTGGACTCGGTGATCCCAGAGGTCTCTTCTAACCTAATCCGTTCAGTGATTCTGTGATACTGCTATGTTTGAGGTAAGTGGTGATGTTATAACCACTTGCATGTGGCTCTGGAAAAGATGACTTAACTGTTGTCTGCTCTTGAAAAGACTTAAGGTGCTGGTGGTTAATCTTTATGTCTCCTTGTCTCACCCTGTCTGGCAACCGTTTGTGGCTTTTGACCTTCTGCCATGTATATCAGATTTGTTACTGAGAAATGATGTGTAACAGTGGAAAGAGAGACTGACTTTGAGTCATCTTCTGAATTAGATATCCCTGAAGTCTCAGTGGGCTGGATTTGAGATCTGGAGGGGATACTCCCATCTTATCAACTCCTTCATCCTGGTGTTTAAGAACATGAATTGTTTGTCCAAAAAATGTTTTGAAGTGGCAATACAGGCTGGATCAAATGGGTCATATCGCCGTATAAAATAAAAGGAGGTGGAGAGGAATAGAGAATGTGGAAGATCATGTCTGGATAAAAGCCTTCCCTTAGCCCTGCTTTTTTTAAAAGTTCTTGTGACAGAGTTCTTGGCAAGAGAACAGAAGAGTGTGAACATCTTTGCAGTGGGGAGCAGAGAGGGTTAAGCACCAAGATCAAAGGGAACCAGTAGGGCTGAAATCTTCCACTGTGGAGGATCAGCTGCACCCTTCCATGGATGGCTGATCAAAGGGAGTACTGCTTTGGGAAGTCCCTAAGGCAGGAAAACCCCTTGTCCATATCTCTTCTCCTTTCAGGGCAAAACCAGCAGGCCTGTATAGGTAGGCTTTGCATGATTTGCTCACATCTTTTGGTTAACGGCAGCAGCCTGTTAGAAGTTGATGTGCCAGCCTGCGTTTTTCTTTCCAAAATTGGAATTGAAGCATGCTGATAGAAACTTATAGGAGCTTACAAACAGTAAGCAGCGAGATTGCTTCTGGCTGGCTAATGATCAGTGACTTGCCTATCTGTGAGGGAGCACTGTGCAATCCTGCTGGGTTCACAGTGTTTGTTGCAGGGGAGCTGCTGCTGTGCACAGAAAGTGCCTTTGAGCTGGCGATGTCCTGATTATGCTGTGGGTCAGGCAAAATTTCCTGCACACCCTCTTTGGTGCTTGCTGTTGAAGTTGCTGACCGTGTTGTTGGGGTTTCTGAAGAGGTCAGCAGTAGATTCAGACCGATGATGAAACTGGTTTACTTAACCTTGAGGAAATTGGGGAGTTGATTTGAAATGTAGGCTCTGGTTTTGAGAATGGGATGGTTTGTACACGTTCTGCGTGCTGGGAGCATGCTTGAAACCTGCAGGGTGGCGTAGTGCTTGGACGTTTTGATTCAGGGATCCGAAATACCCTGAGCATACTGTGTAGATATTTTTGTTTTATTTTTTCCTCCACTGTTTGAGTCTAATAGTTCCTCAAACAAAATGTTGTTTGACCAAGATCAAAAAATAGCATTTGACAGTAATTGGTGTAATTGCAATTCTTAGACTTCAGGCTTGTGAAGAATGCAAAGGCCTATACCTGGCAACATCTACGTGTTTGTAGAATCATGTCCTGGCGGTGCATCTGAAATGAGTATGCTCTTGATCACACGGAGCTCAGGAGCAATTCAGTATTCCTGACATAAGAATCACAGTCTTCTCTGGGAAACAGAGTAAGTTAACAGTCATTGGATGTCCTATGGAACTTTTTTCAGTTCAACAAAAGTTATGATAGTTTTTTTTCTTTCTTTTTTTACAGCAATGCTGAGTGACATTAACTCTGTGAAGCTGAAAAGTGATTGTTCACCTCCTGTGCAATGGTGTGAGGTGGCTGCACACGAAGATGAGAAGACCAAGCTGGTTTTTAAAAGGTACTCGCAAGTAAGTGTCATTATCACAGCAACATAGAGGTCAGTTGCCCTCCCCCTAACCTGGGCAGGTACAAAAAGGATGCAAAAATCAAGGGATGAGATTGCCACAGGAACAGAATGGAGGGTTAGGCACACAGTATTCTCTGGGGCACCTGAAACACTTTGGGAAGCTTAGGCTCTTTCATAGTAGTACCTGTTTTCCCAAGCCAATGTGAGACCCCAGTATTTTGCTCGCAAGTATTTCCAGTCTTGTTTGTATCCAGATAAGTAACAATGACCAGGCTTTTGTACAGTCTGATAATTGAAGAAATTGAAGGGCAGTGAATGTTTAGTGGGTGTTTTAGGGAGGTGTCCCCTCATAGGTAATTTGTTTATGAAGACTTCTGGAATGCTACATCACAAAATCTTACTCCATTGTTTATAGTTTGACATTAAATTAGAATTAATGACTGTGTGCTAGCGTACATCCAAAACCATATTTTAAGTCAAAAAAAGCTCACTACTGGGATGCTTCTCTGCCACATGAATTTTTAGGTCTTAAAACTTACAAAACAGTTTGCCTTTAGGTTTTTTATCCACTGGTGTTTTGAGCACCTGAATGGTGCAGCCCCAGCTGAATCTAGAGTTACTTGATAAACCTCTGTGGAGGAAAACCAGCCTCATTCATCTGCTGTGAATCCAGTTTTCTGCCAGTCAGCCAATTTCCAGGGGTTGCAGCCTAACATGCTAATGAAGGTTTTAGACCCCCTATCAGTACAAAATTTGATTTACTTAAATCAGATGTGAGAACAGTGCTACTTTTCCAGTGGTCACCTTGTTTGCAGCATATACTGCAAATGGAGTGCCAGGATTGCATTTAATTAGTCCATATGGTACAACTTTTTTTAAAAAAAATCTTAGAAACCAGTATTAACTTAATCTGAAAGAGTTTCAAGAAGCACTGAACACTTAGTAGGTAGTATATTTTTTTAAAAGACATTTAAACAAATGTCCAGTCCTTAGGAAAACATAGGAAATGAAAATCAATAATAGAACTCAAACTACATACTTGAGCAACAGTCACAGCGCTAATCAAATAATGATGCAATTTTTGCAGATGGGTTTAGACATGAAATGAGCCAAGTGGATATTTGGAGATCCATAGTGAGATTCCTTAGGAATAAGAAATGAGTAGATGAAAAATATGGATAGTCCATGTTACTCAATTTTAAAATTGGTTCATTTTTTTTTTCTTCTGCATGTTTTGGGGGTGTAAATGACTAAATTAGTCTTCACAGTATAAACCTGAGCATCTAAATTCTGCAATCTGGCCTGCCAGTGAGTTGAAAGTTTTGTTTGTGAGTTGTGGCTGTTGGCCCAAAATCTTGCAATTTGAAGTTCTATCCTTTGTTGAACTTGCATGAAAATACATATTTCGAAATAGAGTTGCCCTTTAAAGTAGGAAAACAAAAGTCACTTTTGGTTTCTTTATGTGAGGAGAACTGTTTGACTCATCAAAGGTGCATTTAAAGTATATAATGCCGGCATAGAACTGCGTAAATCAGTGTCAATATGCAACTTTTTCCTTATCAAAGCATCTGTATATGTTTGTACTTCCCTGCAGATAGCTCTGAAGAGTTGCAGTGAACAAAGCAATAGTTTTTCTTGGTTTGAATCAAATGCAAGTATTCACCTGAAGTTCTTCAACTATCTTCAATTTGTTTAAAAATACTCATTTAACAGTTGATGGATTGCTGGAAAAAAATATTTTTTTTCCCTTTCTCCTACCCCTACAACCTCCGATTTGCTTTTAGACTTCTTGCACTGTTTGTGGTTGGAGGGTGCTTCCTTTATATCCTCAAATTCCATTTTGGCCCTGAAGAATGTGACAGAACAAAAATGCCGTATGTGGACCTCGATCGTGTAAGGGTTGGTATTTTTTGGATTTTTTTTTTTACTTGGTTTAAAAGAAGTTATTAATTGACAATATAAGAGTTATAAGGATCTATAACAAAGAACTAGAATGCTGAAATTATCCTGTCAGGGAAAATATATTTTGCTTCATTTCATGCCATAAAACTTCTGGTTTTTGTTCTTGTGGAGTGACAACAGAAGTGTGTAGAGAAACTGGATTTTTAGGGGTAAAATGAGATAACTGTGACTGTTAAGAATAGCATTTGAAATGGACATGTCATCATACTATTGTGTCAGTGCAGATGACACTGGTGATCAGAAAATTGATGCAAATGAAAAGTAACATTAAAAAAAAAGGCCCAAACCCCACACATTAAACCAAAGGTTTATTCTTACCCAAGGTAGTTCCCCAGTTGCTTTGCTTCCCTATCTGAGTTGCTCAGATGTTTTTTGGAATCACAGGGCAAATGTGCAGAAGGATGCAGCTCTTGGTTCATTTATTTATTTAAGGTAGCAGATATTTAACTTCAAGTATGGTTTTGCATGTGACTTTTAAGCTGGTGTAACAGACTCCAACAAAGCTTTCTCTTAATGACAGTTCTCTGCCTTTGTTACTTAACCTGTTTGCTCTTTATAGCAGTACTTACCTTGGCTTAGAATTGTTACATTTCTGTCTTTGAATGTCTCAACGCTAAGACACAGCTTAAAGCAGAAACCCTGATTTGAGATAGTCTTGTCTTAGCACCACCTCCCGGCTTCTTCAGTCCATGTTTTTCCCCTTCTGAGCCTCTTTGCCTCCCCTTTTCTTTTCATTTGACTTATTTCTTCTCTCAGTAACATATTCTTGCTTCTGAACACCAAACACCTTAAGACACAACTTAAAGCAGAAACCCTGATTTAAGATAGTCTTGTCTTAGCATCACTGTGTGTGCATCCTCCCCCACCTCCCGGCTTCTTCAGTCCATGTTTTTCCCCTTCTGAGCCTCTTTGCCTCCCCTTTTCTTTTCATTTGACTTATTTCTTCTCTCAGTAACATATTCTTGCTTCTGAACACCAAACACCTTAGGCCAAGCAAATCTAAAGACTGCAGGGACTGTTTATTACTGTCTCATGATTCATTTTGTTTGTATTAGATGCAGGATGAGGAAATAGCATTGTTCTTTGTCTAGTTAGGTAGTAGCTGATTGCAAACTTCTTCGGGCAGTTGTCAAGTGATTAGGATTAGTTTTTACTGATAGGATGCACAACTGTCAGCCTTCCAAATGAGGCTCTTCCAAAGATGCACTGACTCTTGCTGACAAAGTACAGCATGAAGTTGCTCGGTTGTGCTTTGCCCAGGAAGAGGTGTGGTGTTTAAGCCCAAACTTGCAGAGACCTTTTTAACGGTGGCAGAGGGGGTTCTGTAGAACAGTCTTTTTAAAAAAAGAAAGCAGCACGACTTCCCTACTTGTGCACCCAGATACACGCTTCCTTTTGCTTAACAGTACAGAAGGAGAACTGAGGTAGCAGTAGATTTGAATTCTGACTCTGATCCCAGTGTTTGCTCATGGTTTTTTTTTAATTACAGCGGAGGAAAGATCAGCAGGGTTGTATTGGGGAAGAGAATATGCAAAAAGATTTTATTTTAACTGGTCAAAATAATACCTTTGCTGTTTCTCTTCTTCCTTACATCGGATACCGGCTTGCCACTACTGATTGAGTGTTGTTTTGGTTTTTTTTTTAATCATGAGACAGATCAATGTGTAGTTTTTTCTGACAGTTTGATCTTTTTATATGGAACTATAGTCTTTTATTTTGGTGACTAGTCTTTGAAAGCAGACCTGAAACACCCCCACCTTGCATTCCTTTTAAAGTTGTGTTTTAGTCATTAGCAATACCACTTTAGCAATACTTATGGAAGAAGTGTTGCTTCATTTTGAACAGTAAGCAAGTCCAGCCTGTCGCTTCACAAAATTTTTACTCGGTGGAGTCTCTGGTAAAATCCTACTGCAGGCAGAACTTGGGTCACGTATTTGAGCAGTGGAGTAGCATTCCACTTACTGGCTAGCTCCTGAGTTAGATGGGTAGAGGTATGTCTAGATTTTTTTAATCTGTTTTTGTAAATAACAGTACAGGTGTTCTCAAGCAGCTCATTTTCACTTACCACTTTTGCTAGCCTAATTTATTCTTTAGAAAATCTCCTATCCAGATTTAAGTGATTGGGTGGAGAGGCATTCATTTGCAGGTTTTTGCCTTGCACTGGTTAGTATCTACGTTTGAGTGAGTGCTTTAAAATGTCTTGTATTTCCACGTTTAAGTTTTCTTTATAAACCCCTGTGTTTGCTAAACTGCTGGTGGTCAGCTGGTGGGTTGCATTGAGAGGGCTTTGTATGTTCTTGAAGCTGGCTTTCCTGACTGAAGTTGTGTATGTTTTGTTTTAGAGAGCACAACAGTATGCCAGTGCTGCATTGCAGGAACAGTGCCGACCTTCTTATGTGAGGAAAGAAATGGGGAAGTTATTTGCGGAGAAATATAGCATGGACATATCTCCCTTTGTAAGAAAAAATATAAATGAAGATGAAGCTTTATTTAAATATGAACCTCCTTTTGGATTTCACAAGTTCCTTGATAAGCTTAAAAATCTCCTCGAACTGTTACCTGAGCATGATTTACCAGAAGATTTGAAGTCGAAACACTGTAAGCGTTGTGTTGTTGTTGGCAGTGGTGGAATTCTTCATGGATCAGAGCTGGGTCACTTACTGAACCAGTTTGATATTGTTATAAGGTACGTATTTTCCATTTAAAGATTCCAACTGCTTCAGCTTTACTTTATGAGCCAGCTTTGGTTTTTACAGAGAAGGTATCTTCAACATTTATGCAACTTATAAGACTATTTCTGAAAGTGCTTTTGAGAAATTTACTTGTGACTTGATGGAATTAGGAACAAATAAATTGTCATGTTCACAGGACAGGAATTCAGTGTAATTATTTGTGGACTTCAGATACAAAAAAACATAGGCAGAAATGAGATAGAAACCAGTGAAATCATAGACAAGTAGACAATCCTGTTTTTATCCATTCATATGTTTAAGCTTTCGGAGGTAGGCTTTAGGAATCACTTCTGCCTTTTTCCCCTTGGTTAGTTGGGATGATTGTTTGAAGGATTAAGGATTTTTTTTTTATAGCAGCTATTTCAAACACAATAAAAATGAATTGGTGTTTCAGTATATAGTTTGCTTACACACTGTATAGTGTGCTTATCTTTCCTTATCTTTACAAGATAAGTGCATGCTTTCTATGATTACCCATGTTTTCTAGTGTCTGAATTAAATGAATACATGCTCTTTATTTGTGCCTTGTGAACATCACTGTTTGAACTCTGCTTCTTTGTATTTTGAATCATGTAAAGTCACAAATAAATTTAATATGAGCATTTTCCCAAGTTGCTTTGTAAACTAAGACTTGCTCCTCTTAAAAAGGGAAGACTTGATAGAGCGAGTGAATAGCTGTTACACAAAGGTAAACAAACCCGTTAGCACGTGGAGGTGCAGAGAACTTCTGAAATTACAGCTGGCAGTGTGAAAGTGACTTTTCTGTTGATATCGAAAAGTTTGTGGGACTTAGGTGGTTCTGCAGAACTGATGGAGCTGGGTGATGCTGTTCCTAGCAGCAGTGTGCTAGCATCTGAAATTTTTGGTGAGCTGGAATGACGTAAACCCACAGGATGCATTACATTGCATTGAAGGGATAATTCGAATGCCTTTCTGTGTGCAATACTCGTGTGTGTGGGTATGTATGTG